TCCTGTATCTAGTTTTGTCCAGCTGCAGGTCTGCATTTCTTTGTCTGACTACGGGTGAGTTGTTTATAGCTAGGGGGTCTCCATTGTCAAGCCTGTGCCCCATCTCGTATCTCCCATATCTGTACTCCTCTACACTGCATTCTGTGTCTCCCCTGCTCAAGGCCTTTGATAACATACCAGTCCTGTATTTCTCTACAGTGCATTATTGTAGCAGAGTCATAAAACCTGGGTGGCTCCAGACAGTGGCAAAGAAAAGTAAATGAAATTATCCATGGCTAGCTCGTCGATTAGAAGAATTGCTGTTGCAGCTAAACCAGATGTTACAAAGCTGCGAACAGGCCAAGGAAAGCTAAGACAGAGCAAACCTTAACAAGCCTCAGTCCTAAGGCCTTGCAAACTCACTACAAAGCCCATGGCCTGTCCTTAGTGATGGCAATAGGTACAGTATTGCAGTACATGCAGGCTAACAGCATTATCAACACCACTGATGTCTGGCATATTATTCTGGAATAGCTGGAGGATATGGACGGGTTAAATCATGTGAGAAAACCTGATACTTCAGCGTGGGAGATTACATTCGTATGGACTAATAATAAAATACTTGCTTCTATAATCTGGAAACTTGCCAGTTGCTTTGGAAAGAACAGATGAAGGGAAGGGCTTGTGAGTAATAGTTATTAACAGCAGAAAAGCCACCTGCAAAAGACATATGTGATCCTAGAATGTGCTGCATATGCTAGCTTCAGTAAGGCTAGGAAAAATAAACACTTGCTCACTGATAGAGCTTCAGCTGAAGTTGTCTGGTTTGTTCTGGATACTTGTGTTCAGGAAAGACTTCTTCAGATGTGAGAAATGGAGAACCTGTCTATGAGTTAGTTGCATGAGTGCAGACAGAGTTGCTCCAGCGAGCTTGACTTGCACTAACTGAGATCCAAATGTCTCAGGAGCACAGCGTGAAAACAGTTGGGCTGCCTTGGGCTGACAGCTTGGGTATGAAGGATGCAAGCTGCATTTGCAGGTTCTAGGGTTGGAAGAAGTAAACTTTCTCTTGGGCTGCTAGACAAAGGCTGGCACTGTGTGAAAGTGTCTGTAGCATTTCTGGGCCCAAATGGAAGTGTCCGCATGCCACCACGCTACGCTCTGTAGATACTGGTTTGGGTCTTTGGTAGAGCTGGGATTTGTGTGCTGCGGTCAATAGGATAGGTATTTCCTAAAGAAGCTGATAAACTTAGTCACATGGACTGTACTCATCACAGCAAACAAATGATTTAATGAATTAAGTTCAGGGGAGATGAGTGTTATTGTAAAAAAAGGTCAGGGGTAGTGAGGGATTCAGAGTGGGCAGCTCAAGCTCTACTCTGAAGGTGCTCTAAACTGCAGCCATAGTGTGACTTCTGCCTGAGTCTCCTCCTGGTGCTCAGCATGCAATTGAAACCTGGATGGATGGTTGATGAACTCATTAATTTTCTGATTGCCTGCCATTTTTTGGTTTTCCTTTCATTTTTTTGCTCTCAAGTAGAGATTGACTGTGAAATCAACTGTAAGACTGAAGTAATTCTTGTGCCTCATTTTTGTTGGGAGAAGCCACTTACTATGGCACATCTCAGCTGGGCTTCACTTCTCACCTCATTACACACTTCATGTCTTTGTAACACTCTCTGTTTTAGTGTGTAACTGTAATTCAGTACTTCTCTCTTTTCTGTTTTGGCGCTCTTTTCATGATTAGTCCCCCTGTTTTTCTGATCTTGTTCCAGTTTACCATTTAAACTGTTCTAAACTCTCTCTCTCTCTCTCTCTTCACCTTTTCTCTCTTCTGAAGTTTCCTGGAGCTCCCCCCACCCCAAATGTCTCATTTCTTCCCTTCTCTTTTGTCTCTTCTTCTTGGCTGTAAATGGCACTGCCATTTGTTTAAATGCTGCTGCCTTGCTCTGTTTGGGGGCTGTCATACAGGATTTTAGAAATACTTTCCCTTCATGACATGATTTACTTGTTACCATTAGTGTAGGTAAAAGGCTAATTAGAAAAGAATAGTCAAGGAGGAGTGCATTTTGGATGTTGTGAAACACTTGTTTTGTCATTGCTATTAACATTTTTGGTAGTTCTTTAAACCAAAGGTTGAACTGGAAGTGTTATCACAGAATCTAAGGAAGAAGAAGAATTGTCACCTTCAAATTTTAGGGAAAAAAATAAAAGTGGCAAAGTGTTTTTTCAGTGGATTATATTGCTTTCAAAAACAAGTCCAATTTGACAAGTTTTACTCCTCTTCCATCTTTTTAATGGCTAGCTGAAATATTTGCAAGGAAAACTGAAGACTACTCAAGTTTTTACTGATAGGTGGGATTTTCTGGCCTTCTGAAAAAATATATAATAATTAATGGATACTGTATATAAGCTATAGGTGATGTTTGTGATTTTCTGGGAGCACTTGCTGATCTATCATGTGCAAAGCAATTATGCAATTTTCTGTAGTCATACTGGTTGCATCAAATTCGAGGTGTTGATGTGGTGTGAAGCCAGGCCTCCATCTGTACAACATGGCATTTCACTTGTTGGTAATTAACAGCAAAGACACTTCAGGAAGCAGACTGTCTCTCTTTGCCAGAGGGGTATATATGTATCTGCAGCTTTAGTGTTTACCTTAGACAACTTGGTAAGTGTTTTGGCTGTAGGGAGACTTGGAGTCTTAGGATAACATACTATATTAAGGATCCATGGGGTTTTGTTTATAGAGCTTCTGGAACATTTCACACTCCAAAACGCAACTATTTTCCCTGCCTGTTTTGCTGAAAATAATGTCAATCAGATTTGAATTTGAGTCTGCTGTCAACTTAGTGTAAGGCAGTTCCCCTAGGGACAGCTATCCATGGCTCCTGGTGACAGCCCTCAGCCCATGGGGGTGTGTGTGACTGCAACCCAGGTCCCTGGGGTGGGCAGCAGGGATGTGGGAGAGAGCCCTGAGCCCGTTGTGGGTGTCTCTTGCATGTGCCAACATCCTGTGCAGCAAACCCACTGATGCTGCCTTGCCTCATCTCCTGACATCCCCAGACAGAGTATGGGGACGGTGTCTTGAGATTATGGAAGTATTTGTATCTTTCCGTATGTTTCCACCCAAGCACTTAACACTCCTTCAGTGAGGGAGTCTGGTGAGTTGTTTAGAGGAGAGAAGTTGAGAAGACAAATTGTCGTGAAAATGGATGTGAGGTGAGGTGTGGTGCTACTGGTGCTGAAGTTTCTCCAAGGGAAAGGGCCTGAGGGGGGAAGTTTGGTGTCTCAATAAAGTTGCAGCTGTGGTTATGGAGAAGCAGTCTGAGGTAAGATGAATAAAAAGGCAGGTTGCCTTTTTTTTTAATTGCTTATTTTATTTATTTATTTCATTTTCTGTAAAACATGAGAGGCTCTAAGCGGAAACATGGAGCAAATGAAAGAAAAACAAACCCAAGCTCATGGAGGACTCATGTGTGCTCTAGCTCCGGGCTGTTTGAGATCACTGGAAATGCTGGTGGGCCTTTCTTCATGATGGAAAATGGTACTTTATTTTGAAGTAAACCAAACTGGTGCTAATGACAGCTCCTTTAGACATTTGAATACAAGGTCTCTTGCAATCTTCACATGAACTTTATTTAAACAAAACTATTAAATTTTCTTATCTGGCTTCTAGCATAATATTAAGGATGGATACTTAGAAGTCTGTGTGTTTGAGATTTCTCTCCTGTTTTCCCTGTCAATTACAATTATGTTGCTTTTGAACAAGAGGTTCCCAGCAGGGAATAGTGAAGACTGCCAAATTAAATTTGAAATACATTTTGTTCTTTGTTCATGGTGAGAATTATTTCTTCCCAAAGGTTTCTGTACTCAGCAAAATGAGCTCAGGTTGCCTCTAAACTCCCTGTAACATCAGTTTAGTTGAGTTTTTAAGGCCAGTTTAGTGGTTAGCACTGTTGACACCTCTAGGAGGGCTGGTATAGCATGAGTGTCATGGGCCCTGGCTTGAAAAAGGCTGGAGAAACCTTCTATTTAAGCAATCTCCAGTCTACCGTCTTGGTATCTGGCCACCTACCAGAGAGGTGTCTCTGGGAAAGGGGGAGGTTGCATATTTTTAACATAGTAATTGTTATGGCCCTACTTTCCAATAAACAATGCCAAAATGAGACAATGTATATTATAGCAAGGTGAAAGGGAAATACATGTGTAAGCCATTGAAGTCAGCCAGGTCTGAATGACTTTTGATGATTGGCTAATAACTGGTGTTTCACCACAAAGCAAATGTTTTTAATACCTTTTTATATTTGAATATTTGCTTCCCAAATACAGATTTTGGGTTCATTAGCATGTTATAGATAGCCTCTAGCTGTGTTTGCAAGTCCTATCTCTGTGCCCATTTTGCATTTCAGGCAATTAGCTTAATTTATACTGGGAAGAGACACTAATTTGGAGGGGAAGGAAAAGGTGGGTAGCAACACGCCAATGTCTATTAAGATAATACATCACGTATTACCTGTATAAGTTTTCATGAAAGAAGCTCTCTTCAGATGTCAAGTAAGCCTAATAAGAACTTGAGCCCTTGCAAGATGGACAGTGTAGCATTCCCTACTTCACGTGAACAGGTAAGGTGAAACAGAAAGTGTGTGTTAGGTTTAGTTTTACACAATAAATCACAGACAGAGGTCAAAAAAGAAGTTCCAGGCCCATCGGGAGCCTTAATTCTTTAACACGTTTCTAGAAGGTGAGCAACTGAACTTCCTGTGGCAAAACTCATCCACAACATCAGCGATGTAAATCAGGGATTTGATACACAGGCTGGAAAATGTTAAAAAGCTTTGTATGCTCTCTGGAATTAAGATAATTGCCCATTCTGCCAATGGCTAATTATATTTGACCTGCTTGTGTCTTGTGGTCCTGAAGCAGAGCTTCCCCAAAATGCTGTAGCGACACTTTAGATGGGATCCCACTTTTCACAGACTAACCAGCCTTTTTTTTCCTCTCTCTTGTTAATTCCCAGAATGCAACAACAACAACAGCAGCGTCGAATGTTCACAGCTGCCCTCCTGGCACTTGTTTTTATTCTAGCAGCTGTGAGTACCACTGAGGCTGGCAAAAAAGAGAAACCAGGTAAGGTCCAGTGTAATTCAGAGTTAATCCCTGAGATAGATTGCATGTTTGGGAACATGTCAAATGCTTCTGGTTTTGTTATGAAATTCAGATCATTCGTTAACTTTTTGATATACAGGGTAGGGATTTGTGGCTGTGACATGTTCTGCATTAAACAGGAAAACAGAAAGTAGTTTCCATGAAAGCTGGCAGCTTGACAGCCCCAGGGACTGGAGTCCTTAGTTATCACAGAGTGGGTATTGCAAGGCAGCTTAAAATTTGCTCTGGGAATAGGTTCATGCTTGATTTAGGAAGAACCAAACAGGAGTAATGAAAGAGCAGTTATCATGTTGCTTGTTCAGTGTTGCCTGTGACAGTGCTACACCAATGCTGTGTGATGTGGAAATCCTCCTACAAAGAAAGGGACTAAATTTCTGTTGCATATAGACAGCCAGACATCCAGTGGTAATTGCTTTCTGTCAGTGATGAACTCAGACCTCGTTATAGGACAGAGAGGCCTGGGGTGGAAAATTCATATCTGTCAAACACTTTTTAAAGGAATATGTCTTTTGGTGTTTTTCTCAAGGTCTTATTATTTATGGGCTAGTTACACATGAGTTAATATGACCTGTGAGTCTATCAGAGTTAGTGTTCCCATTAAAAAAAAAAAAGTGTTCTAACTATTGTGGCTGTATGGAAATATGAGAAGATGTGAATGTAAATATACAAGAACTATAAGGAAAATTATTTGATATAAGTTTATTTAAAATTACTTGTGATGTTTTAAGGGCCTAACTAATTATTTTTGTGACCCCTTGGGTTTGATAATATTGCGGTCTTTTCTCATCAGGCTTCAGTTTAAGGATTTAAGTGAAATAATGATCTTTACTTTTGTCCCTGAGCAACAAACCCACCTGTATTCACAGCATTTCGAGTACAGTTCTCCATGTACTTTTTTTTTCACCTTTTGAGTTTTGTTCATATTCTATCATAAAATAGGACATGGTATACCAAGTGAAAAGTTTGTATCCCACAGCTGTTCTCCAGAGGTGCTCAAATCCTCTGATACACAATGTCAGCATGTACATTTCTAATCTGTATAGTGTGTAGTGCTTCTGTTGGAACTGAAAATATTTGTGTGCCATCAGCTATTGGAAACAGAGGAGTGTCCTTTCTGAGTGTGTCCTCCTGCCTGTTTCGATCAGTGATCCCTGAGGGTTTCTAGATGATTCCCCATTCTGAAGATGAAAATCCACTTGAAAATATGTTAAGTGGGCTAGTAGACACGGTAGTGGGACTGAATTTGAATGATCCACCCTGCTTTGGAGTCAAAGAGGCTGACCTGTCTCTGCAGAACTGTGAAGAAGATGCCAGACCTTTTGCTTTTAAAGCAATTGTTTTACAAATGTCTTCCTTATTCAACCTTTCAGGTGCTGTAACTGTTTAGTGAAGTTTAGGAAACTTCTTCACAGGCTTTGGGTACTGACCACTTCTCTTGCTTGTGTTTGGTTCCTTGTCTTCATCCAGAGAAAAAGGTGAAGAAATCTGACTGTGGGGAATGGCAGTGGAGCGTCTGTGTTCCCACCAGTGGTGACTGTGGCCTGGGGACACGTGAGGGCACCCGCACTGGAGCTGAGTGCAAGCAAACCACCAAGACTCAGAAGTGTAAGATTCCCTGCAACTGGAAGAAGCAATTTGGAGGTAAGCGTTGCTCTCTCAAGGAATTTGCTTTGGTTTTTACTTAAGTATGGAGCAGGAAGCCTGTATTTTCTGCTTAGCTCTGTGAATGTCTTGGTGAAAGGGTTACTCCTGTATTTCAAATTCTTTGGAACTAGAACATGTAAGGCATCAGAAGGCAGCTTCTTCAGAGCCAAGCAACTCCTCTGCAGAGAGTCCATATAACCTACTTGTTGTAAACTCAGTCTTCCAGCAGTGTGCTGAACTCTGCTCTCTTGTGGTGTACAACCCTATTTAAGGCAGCAACGTAAGTGTTGTGTGTTCACTTAGAGCTGTGAATCTCTGTGATGGTTATACCACAGGCTTTGCGTGACCTTGCAATGTGCAGTTTGTGGCATGGAACATGGGTGGCTACCAGAATGTGCAGTGAAAGGAGTGAATTTAGACAGTGTATTTCATCTATATATTCAGTTCAGAAGGTTCACATGTAACAGTGCAAGAACATGTCAGATCTGTCCTGGACAAGATGTCCGTCCAGGACTGAGATCTGATTACTCTTGCAAACTTGGCTTTTTTCTAGTAAGCAGCTTGTGTGGCTTTGACATCATTGTGACCTCACCAAGCCAATCCATGCTTTCAGACTTGACAAGTTCATAGTTGCAAATATGTTCTTGAAACTATTGAAGCCTTATGTGGTAACCTTTAGCATCGCACAAATGGAGGAACAGCCATATAGCATGTGAATGACATTTCCCGCTGCTGTTGTTTCTTGGTTTTTTTTAATTATTTATTGTGTATCTTCATAGTTGAATGTATTTTCACTTATGTGACAATAACACAATATCCATGCAAAAGCAAGAGGATTAAATTTTAAAATATTTTTTGGGGGAGATTGCAATTATTGCTGCAAATCATCTTTAAAGTTTTCTTAGGATTCCTGTCTTCAGTTGCATGAGCCTTTTGTCTACAAGCACTGACTGTGATATCCTATTAGACTCATAACATCTTTGTTTTCACACTCAGTCATTCTGTTTTAAAAATTGCCATTTATTTACTCATTGCAGCGGAGTGCAAATACCAGTTCCAAGCCTGGGGAGAATGTGACTTGAATACTGCCTTGAAGACTCGAACTGGGAACCTAAAGAGAGCCCTTCATAATGCTGACTGCCAGAAGACTGTCACAATCTCAAAGCCCTGTGGGAAGCTTACCAAACCCAAACCTCAAGGTAAATTCCATTTGCTGAAAGCTGTACACCAGTTTATTTCAATCACTGGATTTGTGGTAGTCTCTGTGCTTCAGTGGGAGCTCAGTAGTGCAGGAGATTGTACTTTAATGACCTTTCCTCAGTTCTGCACTTCTGTCTCCCCCTTGCCAGGCAGACAATGTTCCTGAGTTGTGTAGTCAAGGCAGTCTCATGCACAAGAAGTGAGCTGAAGATTAGAGCTTCAGTTTTAAACTTAGACCACCTGTAATGCTACTAGTTTGCTGATGCTCTCTAGACCTCCAGAATACATATGCTTTTCATAGCTCACCCATTGATGGGAGCAAGCTAATAGTAGAATGCAAAAATGTCTTTTGATAAAGACACCCTTTAGGTAGGTTTTGTTTGGTATCAAATAATGAGTAGTTGAAATAGGAACTGCTTTCCTTCTAGACAGGTAGTATTGAGGGGATGTTCTGCTCACTGCATGCTGAAAGAGGGTATGCAGGTGTTTGGCACCTTTGGGGTTACATATTCTTTATTCAAAGATAGCACGAAGGAGAGTATGGAATGTATATGCCTTATTTAACTGCGAGTGACAGTGTAATTCCTAGCACATAGAAAAGCATATGCCCTGCATTTGTGTTTCCAGGTGTCCCTTAGACAAACTGACTTTCTTTCCAGTCATTAAATCTTTTTAATGTACTCTTCTGTTGGAGTATCAGATGTTATGTGTGATTTATGGTGGGAGCTAAAACTGTGGGTTTGAGATGCACAAGTAATGTGTTTTAAGTGGATTGTACAAGCTATGCTACCCTGGCATTCGTTTGTTTAACACCAGCTAGGTTTAACACATTCCAGGCTCTGAATACTTGGATAATTATAAAAATAAATGTAGTTAGGAGTGACAGGTACAACTTGGACCAGTGATTTTCAAATTATGGATGGTGGTGCACCGTTGGCCTGAGGGGTACCCTCAGGTGGCCTGCTCTGCTTGTGCAACCAGAGACAGGTCTGATGAGGTTGCAGATGCTTTCTGTGAGTGTCCATGCATCCATCTGCTTTGCAGTCAGTACAGCTGTAGCTGGTCTTCCTCACACACCATCCATGGAGTTATCAGATAAGTGCTGAGTCTAGAACCTGCACAGATAGTGACAAGCTGTGAAGCAGAAAGGATCCAACTAGATTTTCAGAGACAAGCTGACTTGGTTGAATTGGCAGCAATAAACATCTTCATTTGGGGGTGGAAATGACTGGGTGGGAATGCAGGAGGGTCTTTGAGCTCTGTCATCTTATTGTTTCTTAGTTTGGGGGAAAGGACTCTCTGTTGTTTGTTTGGGTTTTTTTTTTTGTTTGTTTTTGTTTTTGAGTAAGTTTCCATGCCTAAGTGGCATTTGGGAGTTTATTGAATGAAGCTTCCTGTTGTGGTGCCGGAAGGCTGCTGCCACTTGAGCCACTAGTAGCCCTCTGCCTTGTTCTGCTCCCACTGAGTCAGTATATTCTATCAATGGCTGTCAGAAAAGGAGAGAAAGAGACAAAGCAGAGTGCTGATGCACCATCGTTTTGTGAGAGAAAGGCTGTTGGGTGGTACAGGCTCGTTTTCAAGCTATAGTTTTAAAGGCAGAGCTTGTGAAATTTCTGGATTGGAGTTAACTTTAATGGACTCTAGATATGAGTGAGTTAAAAATGAGACTGAAACTCAGATTGGGACTAACTGCAGCAAACATGTGGTTTGACATAATTAGAAAACCCAACTTCACTTGATTTGAAAGAATACAAAAGGAGAAATAAGTTCAAATGGAGATTTGTGATCATAATAACTGTGGGCAGAAATTCTACTCTTCTGATTTGTGTTAGAAGTCTCATGGCATCTTCCTGAATGCCACCTGCTCATTCATCTGCTGTTGGCATTAGTAGGAGCAGCATGCATTCAAGTCACAGGCTTGCAGCCTGCCTGGGCCCTGAGCTAAAGATAAGAAATCCATATTGCAGATCTGTGCGCATAACTACATAGGGGCTACACTGGACAGTGTGTTGGCAGCAGTAGGAGTAACTAGAGTAAGAAATTCAGTCACACTAATTAGTACTGTGTGAAATGTAATGCCCTACTGAACTTTATTTCTGCGCCCTACTGAACTTTATTTCTGAGTTAAAAATCTTAGTGCTGACATGTTGGCTGGAATGAGAGCTCATGTTTTCTTTCTGAGGTGAAAGAAATTATAGGTTGGAGGCAAGTCCCCACCCACATTTAGATAAAGGAAAAATTAAACTGTATGCATTCTATAGTTAGAAAAGGACCCAATTTAATTCTTTGGAGATGAAAAGTAAGATCCAGATTATTGTCTGAGTACTTGGAATGGACTGTAGGTACATGTTAGTTTCCCTTTTCACCCATAGCTTTGCATCAATGGCTCAAGACTACAAGAGAAAAAGCATATGATACATTATTTGGAAGCAGCAGTTTTTTTCTGAGGCACAGTGATGCGTAAGGTCTGTACCGATATGCAGCTAGACCTGTAAATACTAATGAAGTGCTGTACATTCCTACTGTGATTGCCTGGAGTAGCAGAGCAGTGGCTTTCTGGCATTTGGGAGCTCTGGCAGCAGAATAATAAATGAGGGTCTTATTGACTACAGGAATCTGTTCTACCACTAACCAGTTACTTTTCTGACTGGTGTGTGTGTGCTTCAAGAGCTGCACCACTGAATAAATCTCTGACAGCGATAGGTTGGAAGTACCAAAAGCCGATGTGAACTGACTGAGAATATTGCACTGAAAAATACCAGTATATTCAGAAAAAGGGTTGTTTTCATGATTTTCCTGACTGACCCCTTTCCTGTGACCTGAAGTTTTCCTTCTGTTAGGTCATGTTTGTAACCTCTCCATTACATCACTTTGCCCTCTGATTTCATATTGTAAATGGGTGAGTAAAAGCCCCTATTTAGCTTCTCCAATCATTTGCAGTTTTATATATCCTCTCTCACTTTTTTGGCACTTGCCATATTTTAAAGCTAAAACCTCTGATTTAAGTAGTTCATTGTATAACAATTTATCCGTTGTAAGAATACTCTCTACCAGACTTACCTAAATTCCTTCTATTGTTGCAAAATCATTTTTGGAATGAAGAGACTGGACCATACACAGTATTCCAAGCATGTCCTATACAGATTTGTCTTGAAAAAGAAGATATCATTGCAGTACTCCCTTTATTGTTCATTTACACACACTAAATAACCTAAATATGTTTTTCTTTTTGATCACTGCTTGCATGTGGAGCAGATATCTTTATCTTCACAATTCTCCCTGACTCTTAAGTTAAAAACATTAATTAATGCAGTTAGTTAAGAACCCAAGAAGGTGTGTAAGGCATATTATTTCCTCTAGGCCTGCCCAAAGAAGTATTGGGTATCAGATTTCCCCTGACACATTTCCTTAGTCTGAATTGGTGTCTGAAGTTCCTCCTCACTTTCTCTGTTCTTTGAGAATAATGGAAATAAATTGATGTAATCTGTAACTGCTGCTCTCCTGTTGCTTATCCACCTTTGCAGCTCATGAACATGCAGCAATTTTGCTGGTAGGATGAATCCTGTGTCTCTCTCCTCTCACCTATTTTGAAGATGACTGCTGTTTCATAGAAGTTTGTTCTATGCTTAACAGAAAGGAAAATTACACCTGCACAAAAATCCCAAGAGTTATCATTTTGTAGATTTGCTGATAAAAGTATATTTTGGCTTTCCAGGAACTTCTATGAGCTGTGGCAAAACTGCTAAATTAAACCAGGAGATACTAATTAACCTTGGGAATCAGTGCCTGCTCATAAACTGGTGATCTAAGTGTTCTTACGGATTTGTTTTATCATAGTCAGCATTCATGAAGATACCTTAAAATCTTTTTGAAGCACCCTCATTATTTTGTAAACTTAAAAAAAAAAAAGTTTTTCCCTTATTAGCAATTGCTCTGTCTCAGTGTTTTTTCTTCTGAGCAGCTGACTCTGAGTACAGATTGTAGTCTGTGACACTTAGACATTTTAGAGCTCACTAAAGAGAGGAGAATTACTAGAGAAAGTGCTGTATATCGAATTTAAGGGGGCCAGCAGATGATGAATCAGGAATTTGGATTTTATCTGGATTTCTGACAAGCTCTTTTCTCCATGGCTTTGCTGACGCATTCTCAGATTGGAAGACAATAGCTCGGTCCCGGGCTGCTGTGCTAGAGTGTAGTTAACACAGGATGAAAACTGTTGTTCGTTCTTGACTATCGTGCATTTGGACACACTGTCCGCAATGTGACAGTGATATCCCAGACACGGTGGTTTGTGTATTTAGTGCACAAATGAGGTCATGAGAAAGCCTGTCACAAAGGCTGGAAAGGATGAAAGAATAATTTTTATCACAAAATCCCAGTGAAGGTCGCCACCCCTCCTCTAGCACACACAATTGCATATTCTAGTCAGTGTCTGCAAGGATGGGGATGTTTAAGGTCTCCCTAAACTATCTTGACAGATGTGAAAGACTCAGGCACTTCTGTCGAGTGGCTGCTCTAACGGCCAACTTGCACTGAAGAGCAGAAAACATTTCCGACATACTCCATCTGGCCTCCTTCATGACCACCCAAACTTGATTGATGGCTGTTCGGGTTCCAGCTAGCCAGAAAGTAAAAGAATGGAGTATTGTCAGGATTCAGGAAATATTTTGCTTTAACTGCTGAGAGAGGATGAGTTTATTTTTATTGAGCTGGGTTGCCTGATAGGCTTTATTTCTTTTTTCACTCTTTTCATCGCTCTCATTATTCCTCTCTCTCTCCCCTTATCTCTTGTACTTTTAGCTATTTATTCTCCTGATTAAGATAAAATTAAATAGAATAAGCAGTCTATCTGCTCTTTCTGCAATGTACCCTTCATTTTTTGAATTATGCTCCTTTTTTCTCTGATGAATTTTTCACCTAGCTGTATTTAGTTCTTTTTAATAAATCTCCTTTCCCAACTTTTAATCAATTTACAGTATATCTGATCTATGAGTTATTT